AGTTGCTTTTTATTCATGTAATTATTGTATCTCATCTCCAATATATATCATATCATTAAGTTGTAAGAATTGATATTTATAGTTTAAGGTGTTGTGTTTGTAATCAATTCTTCTCAACGTTAGTGAGGTACCGGTAATACTCATTACAGAAGGATTCCCTGCAATTTGTAATATGCAACTGAGTGGAAAAAGTGGTGATTCACTGTGTGAAGTGGCTAGTGAAGATTTTTATGGTTGTCCACATTTGTTTCTTTATATTTGTTTATTTATTTATACAATCTTTGCTCTTCCAGACTGAGGTTACTACGGTGATTTGCGCAAACAAAGAACTAAAAAAGCTTGTCAACATTAGTGGGCAACTTGACACTGTCAAACGTGTGATCTGTATGGATGATGAGATTCCAACTAGTGCAAGTGGTAGATGGACAATCACTTCTTTTGCTGACGTGGAGAGAATTGGCTGTGAAAATCCTGTTGTTGCTGATTTACCTCTTTCAGCTGATGTTGCAGTTATAATGTATACTAGCGGAAGTACTGGATTGCCTAAGGTTAGAAGTGTCTATTTTGGTTTCTGGTTCTTCTGTTCTCTTATAAATTTTGTAGGTAAAAATATGCTTATGGTTAGTGAACTGGTGTAAGCATGATGCTATCTTTGAGGTTTTTCAAAATGGTTATCTTAGAAGATTAGGTTTCCTTATTGTTAAGCCACTTCAAATATGTCAAATTTGTGCAGGGTGTGATGATGACACATGGCAATGTCCTAGCTACTGTTTCTGCAGTCATGACAATTGTTCCTGGACTTGGAAGCAAGGATGTTTATCTTGCATATTTACCCCTTGCTCATATTCTTGAATTAGTAGCTGAGGTATGTATGTTGTCTTAGATTGCATGACAAGATACATTAATGGCAACTTGGTTTCGATCTCTATTTATGTCTTAAATTTGTGTACCTGCAGTGTATTTAAACATATTTAACTTTCCTTTTGCAATTGTAGAATTTAATTCCTGCTGTTGGAGGGGTCATAGGATATGGAGCCCCTTTGACTCTCACTGACACTTCTAGCAAGATAAAAGCTGGAACAAAGGGGGATGCCACTGTGTTGAGTCCAACTGTGATGGCTTCTGTCCCAGCAATTCTTGATCGTGTTCGAGAGGGAGTGCTGAAGAAGGTTAGAAATTTTCATTTCTACGAAAATATTACTTCTTCTCTTTATATATATAATATTGTGAAACTAAGCTCATTTCAATCATTATTGAATCTTGCACTTTAGGTAGATGCAAAGGGTGGACTATCCAAGAAATTGTTTGACTTGGCTTATGCCCGTAGATTATCTGCAATAAACGGTAGTTGGGCTGGTGCTTGGGGCCTGGAAAAGCTATTGTGGAACTTTCTTGTCTTTAAAAAGGTCCGAGCAATTCTAGGTGGTCGCATTCGATTTTTACTATCTGGTGGTGCTCCTCTATCTGCAGATACTCAGAGATTTATCAACATCTGTCTTGGGTTAGTATTTTTTTAGTATTATACTTATTTAGCCTCTGGTGCTACTCTTTCATACTTAGACACACATGCTCACGCTAAAAACACAAGCACATTTCTTTAGTTCTAAAACAAATGTTCTAAATTTTAAATAAAGTATTGTTGATAATTTTAAAATTTTATGTGATGATTTGTAAAATACATATGATTTTATAGAGATTTCACATCTAATAAGAGTTTGAAAGAAAATGACTGACGTAATTCGAATTACAATATTGCGGTTATTTAGTCAAATGATAAAAAGGAAAAAAGAAATCTTAAATAACATTTGCTGAATGTGATGACTAGGTTTTAACTACTTAACATTTTTCAACATTTTTTCATTGAAAATTGTCTATTAAGTGGTTTCCAAAACAAGCTACCAAACTCATTGAAAATGGATGTATCCAATGGTTTATCAAACAACACCTAACATCTTGCCCAACAGAAGTTGTTTAATCTAGATTTTGAGCTGCTTGTTGATTTTTTCCGCTTTTCATCTTAATTCATGAGGGTTTAACACTTGAAGTAGCGATATATAATTAAAGAGCAGAGTAGAATAAACCATTTATATAAAAAAGGAATAAAAAAAAAACCATTTATATAAAAGAGAAGCCTAAGGGTTCTTTTAGACCTTTTTTTTATGGCTAAGCCTCTCAGAGGCCCAATTATGTGTGTAAATCTGCTCCTCAAGCTGCTAGCTGGTCTGAGATGTGGTGCTCAAATTGTCTAAATCAGTTTCTAGGTTAAATTTCTATTACTTCCGCAATGAAAGCTGATATAGAAAATAATGGACATAAAGAATGCTTTGAATGAATATACGGAAGATGTGTTTTTATATCTCTGGATGGGTTTTTGATTAAAAATAACTTGACCATTCAAGCAACTGGAGTTAATTCTATTGAATCATCTGACTTGAATTAACTTCAGCTCAGTGCATTTAGTTCAAGTGTAGTTCTACCTAAAGTAATCAGGTGAAGAATGGTTCGTTATTGCTAATTCACATGGCACATTTATTGACATTGGCAATCATTAGAAACAAGCTTCTCTAACTGTATGAGATGATGTCATGTTATGTTTCTCAACCATTTGGACCAATTCTGATAGCTTTAACGAACAGTAATATTGTACCGGATATGTCTTTGAAAAGTTTAAATGTCATTCAATTCTTTTTCTTTCTTTTTTTCAAATGAAAGCATCTTAAGAAACCAAGTCATCAAAGTGATGCCTGTGAATTAAAGAAAACAGGAATGCATGAAGATTCTTTGGATGGCAGGTCTGTTATCTTAGATGGTAAATTTGAATAGAACTACAAGTAGCTTTTATGTTTTAACAACAACCAAAAATCCTTGGGATGACAAAATGGGTTCTCAAACTAAATATAAAATACAGATTGGTATGTTGATCACCATGGAGATGCTATCATCAGCAAGGTCATTAAGAATTATCTTTTTCATACAGTTTTATTTTATTTTCTAAGTATCAGATTCTCATTGGATTTCCTTTTCCAGTGCTCCAATTGGCCAAGGGTATGGTCTGACTGAGACTTGTGCTGGTGCCACCTTCTCTGAGGTTGATGATACATCTGTTGGGCGTGTTGGTTCGCCACTTCCTTGCTCTTTTGTTAAGGTAAGATACGATTATGATTATTTTTACCAGTTTGAATGGACAACTTTTTACCAGTTCATGTGCATTGCTTTTGATATTCTGAGGGACTCTTTTTAATGAATTTGCTTTTCTTGACTATCTGCTGGTTAAATTTTGCATCTTTCTCTTTCAAATCAATTATTTGCTCTAAGTATACAAATCCATGATAATCCGGAATCCCTTTATACTGGTTGAAACTGGAAGGTTTGAGAGTGGACCTCTATGGTATTTGTAGTTGATATTATTGGCCGTGGTAAGCAATAAGTCTCTGATAGTATAATTTTACAATGTAAATGTTCTTGCCCTGCATCACTTCGCTTTTGGTATTATACTCGCCCAGTGGTAGCTATGTTTCCTGTTGAATACATGGCATCTATGCGTGTGTGTTTGCACGTGTGTCTCTGAACCTATGTGCTCTCAAAGTTTCATTTTCTCTTGCTCTCCACATTCTGTAAGATTATGTTGTGAGATTATTGCTCTGGTCATTTCATATGAGTGTGATTACTTATTCCAGTTGCGGGATGCAATCCTGACTTTAATAATAGTGCACTACATTTTGTTTGTTTCAGTTAATAGATTGGCCTGAAGGTAGATATTTAAGTAGTGATTCACCAATGCCTCGTGGAGAAATAGTGGTTGGTGGTCCAAGTGTAACACTCGGATACTTCAAAAATGAAGAAAAAACAAAAGAAGTGTACAAGGTAGGTTTTCAAACTCAGTCTCTGAATTCCTTTTCTATTCTTTCTTATTTTTAAGATTACTTACAATTGATCCTCTCTTTCTTCTCTCTGTCTCTTAGTAAACTGACTATTTTAATCTTTTGGTGTGGAAAAGGTTGATGAGAGAGGAATGAGGTGGTTCTATACTGGTGATATAGGACAGTTCCATGCTGATGGTTGCCTTGAGATAATTGACCGTAAAAAGGACATAGTCAAACTTCAGCATGGGGAATATGTCTCTTTAGGAAAGGTATGAGTGGATGTTCCTAGTCAAACAAAGATGTTCACCAGATGTTCCGTGGTAACTAATTTTTCTTCTTCAGGTTGAGGCTGCTCTCATCATCAGTACCTATGTCGACAATATTATGTTGCATGCTGATCCATTTCATAGTTATTGCGTGGCTCTTGTGGTGGCTTCTCAGTGTGCAGTGGAAGATTGGGCTTCAAAACAAGGAGTTGCTTTTACTGATTTTGCAGACTTGTGTGAGAAGGAAGAAACTGTCAAGGAAGTACATTCGTCTCTTGTTCTGGTATGCCTCTACTCTCTAGAATAAAATTCCAGTGATTTAAAATTTATCCTGATGTTTAATGTTCAAATTTATGCTAAACATTTGAAAAGAGAAAGATTTAAGCTTTGAAGAGGGTGCCTGGATATGCATGTTATGGTCTCTCTTTGCTTTATACATTTTGCAACAAATTCTTTAAGCTTGGAGAGCTTATAGGTTGGTGACATTTATACATTAAACTATTTCTTTAGGATCTCTCATTTATGTTAATACATTTTATCTACCTAAAGTACTTTACCTCATTTGTTATACGATGGGATTTTAAGTATTGTTTTTCCAGTGCTGGTTTAGCTTTGAGGTAGCTGGTAAAGAAAGCTTTAAATTTGCATGTACTTGCATGTATAAATCAGAGATATTGTATTCCTTTTTCTTTGAACCCTACTATTTGGGTGCATCTGATGGAGAAAGTAGCGAACAGCCACAAGAATCCTAGGCTCCTAATAATGTGATTTACTTTTTCACTGATTCGTTTTTGCCCCTGCACCCACCCCCAACCCTTCCCTTCCCACTCCCTCTATTCGCAGATTGCCAAGAAGTCACGTTTGGAGAAGTTTGAGATTCCTGCAAAAATCAAATTGCTTTCTACTCCTTGGACTCCAGAATCTGGCCTTGTCACTGCAGCTCTCAAGATCAAGAGAGAGGCCATTAGAAAAGCTTTCTCTGAAGACCTGGCTAAGTTATATACGTCATAGTTTCGAGAGGACTTACGCTTCTACTGGTGACTGCCAATCTTGAAGAATGGAAGACTAGTGTGAGATAATATGATCAATCCTACATTTACACATTCCTTGTTTTGTTTTGTGTTTAACTATATATTCTTTCTTTGAGCTTTATCTTTGCAATTCATGTTTTATGCTAAAGGAACTACAGACAAACACTGTTTTTTGCCTGTCTTCAAACAGGGTTGTTAGATGCAAATCTCTTTCCTTGGGTTCCACATGTACTTGTCTGTGCTTAAAGCAAACCGAAAAGGTTTTGTTGTTTATCTTTGCCTTGATCCATTAGTGAAATTTGTACGAGGACGAGTTAATTAAATGCTTTGGAAAACTCGGCAGCCCTTAGGCATCAAGATTTGTGATTAGCACTGGCCAAACTTTCTAGGCTGAGGTGTTTTAACCTGGTCCTCTTGTCAATGAAGATGGACCTAAGTTGCCAAAAGTCAGTGAGAGGCTAAGGCCTATATGTCAAGGCATAGGCCAGCTTGCTCAATTCCAAAGGAGAAAAAGACGTGAGTTGCAAAAGCTGAAAACTTTTCATTCAACTCGAATGTCTTCATGATATGGTGGTAGAGGAACTTTGCTTTAAGTTTAATGGATGAAAGAGGATGACCATAGCAAGAAAAGGAAAAAGAAAGCAACGGCGACCCTAAAGAAACAAGGATTTGGTATTACTCGTTTCTTTGGATTGCATTCTGATGTTGTGGGGTGCATTAAGAGATCTAAATGATGGAATTCGTAGTTGATGATAACTGAAACCGTAATTATGTGCTGTAATAATGAAGAATAGATTTTGCTTAGTTGAGGAGGAATGGGTTTGGTTTGTGCATCTTATTGGGGGCACCCCAAAATGCACTGCACACTGTGCATGATTAGCCCATCTCATCTATTTGACTTATTCAGAAGCATGCCAAGTGGATTTTGGTTGAACAGGTGAAGACATGGAAATATTTAAAAGAAAAAAAAATAAAAATAAAAAAGGAGAGATTTGGGGTTTCAAGGAAGATGACATCTTAATTTCCGGTCCATATATCTCATTAGAGGAGTCAATACCCCCAACGTTTGAATTGCTGGGTCTTGAACCATAATGTCCATCGTGGACTTTTATTTGGGCAGAGAAAACGAACAGGGGGGAATTATTATTGAAGAAGACAAAAAGGTCAAATCTTTAGAATGGAAGGGTGGTGGAGAACACGAGATGGAAAATAAGACTACTTCTTTTTAGGTAACTCAAACTTAATAGGTTTTCTACTTTGCTAAAAGAAAAGAAAAAGGTAGAACAAGTGTAGTGCTGTTGGGGGGAGAAGACTACAGGAAGAAGCACATCAAAGTGGGGAGGGGGAGGGAAGGAGACCCACAATCCCATATCTAAACTTTGGTCCATGATGATGATGTGAAACTTGACTCCAGGCCAACCGAAATGGAAACAGCCCCTTGTTCTCCCCATGTGACTGTTACTTTGATTGTTTCCCCCTCCACCTTTTTAAGCCGCTTACAGTACAGTGTGTTTCGTGGACACTTCTAATTCAAAGCACTCTTTTTTTTGCCCCTTTATTTAAAATATATATTTTTTCTCTTTTTTTCAATTCCCTTTACAAACGTAGATATGCACGAGCACAATATATATCTATATATGTCCAATAGGGAATGCTTGCACTAGTGGCAACATGATGTGAATGACAGGTTTTCAAATGAAAAAACACGAGTAAAAAAGCATACAAGGAGAATTGATACAAGTTTTCATTGCAAGTTGCATAAAGCTGACTACAATGGAGTTGGAAGAACCTAAAATGTGAAGGGGTTTTAACATGGATGTTGAAAGAGCAGAGATTCATAGTGCAATTTCCAATTAATGCATGGGTTTTCATAATACAGTGGTAATACGTTGGGGAACCCCAGGTTGAGAAGATTCATGCCAAAGACTAGCAAATCCCACTCTCAGATGTTTCGGGTTGCGCCAATTCCCTACATCTTGTGCCTTTAGATGGCCTCAAAAATCAATTGGGAGTCTCAATATTTGACTCAATCCCACAAACACAACCCAAGCACGACCTGTTCTTCTACAGACTTGGGGTTTGGGTTTGCATATCATGGCATCCCACCCCCAATGTCTAAAACTAGCAAGCCAGCTACTTTATCAAGCAAATTGTGGCAATCTCACCAACGAAAATCGACATATTATGAATGGCAATCTCACCATCAAATTAAAGAAAATAATAATAATACTTAGAAATTATTGTAAGAACCAAAGAAACTTGGCCCAGAACCCCATTTTTGTCTATTCTTTAGAGCAAGTCAAGATTTCTTCTATATTTATATTCATTTGGAAAAGGAAAATTCAAACTCTTTTCCTTTGAGTAAGAGATCATTCATGAGCTCTTTCTATTTTCTCTGTTTCCATTCTGGGTTGTTTTGTTTTTCTTTTGGCTAGCAGAAGAATGGGCCTTAATTGAAAATATTGAGATTGAAACCAAAATGATGGTAAACAATTTTCAAAGTAAATGTAGGTGGTTAAAAAAATTGCCTTCAAAGTAGTTCAATGACCCTAGATGGATGGCTATCCAGAAAGACCATTGCCCACTACCCACTGCCCACCTATTATAATGTCCAAACTGATATGTTGGTGGGACCAATCTCATGATGATCTTACTTACATTCTCCACAATATAAGCTATCAGCAACAACCCAACCCCTTTTTAATTTCTCTTTCTTAAAAGACTTCACATTCTTCTCTTTGCTCTCCCTTCTTTACACTACCCATATATCATGAATGGCTATAGGGAAGACAACTCATGCTGCTATTTCCATCCCAAAGAAGTTGTTGTTGGGGTTTGCCCTTTGTGCTTAAATGAGAGGCTTCTTATCTTGGCTTCAAAGCAAGGCCAACGCTCTTCCTCATCCAGCAGTGGCAACCATAGAATTCAAGGTCTTTCACACAAGAAACCTCCCATCAACCTCCCCAAGATCTTTGCTTTAGGCTCTGTTCTTCTCAACCGTCTTGAGTTCAAGCATTGGAAATCTGAAAATTCCGGTGACCATGATGCTTCCACCAGTCAAGAAGGTACCCGTTTAATTTTTTTTTTTTTACTTGTTCAGGATTGTTCATGCAAGACAGTTTTTTTTTTTGTTGGGTGTTCTTGAATTTCCATCAAAGGAAGAGAAGGAAAAACAATTAAATCAAGCATAACATGAGAAAGATATGCATCACATGCATGCATGTGTGTCTATATGTGCAAAATTATTGTTTGTGTACTGACAAAAGTGTGGTCAAAGTATGGCAAAACTGGAAACGAATGAATCCTTTTCTGTTTTCTTCTGTTTCCTTCCCTTTTTTTTCCCTTTGTATAAAATATATAGTAAATTGCAGTTATTTAACATGAAAATGAGTTTTTTCAAACATGGGGATATCATGAAAAATTTTTATATGAATTCAAAGATATGTTTGGCGAGAATGTCTTGGGAAATACTACGATTTATTGAAAACATTTTAAAATCCATGCGACTCTGCGGATAGTTTATGTATAGTTGGGTTTTGTCTCTGACCTGTATCTTTGAAATCTACAGAACTTGGTAGGTAATGCAAACAGAAAACTTCAGAACTTCCCTGTACCATTCCAGATGTAACCTAAACAACATTACCATTTAGTTGTTGGATCATACAAATCATTCAGCTTCCAAGTAGTAACAAAAATAATAAAGACAACAAAGATCATACAAATTCATCTAATCTAGATCTACTGAGGGACCCCTTTCATGTCAATTCTTGCTAATCATGTCCTTGGCATATAAAATTTTGGTAAAGATGGCTTTCCTTTCACATTTTCTTTTTTGAGGCTATACGTTGGACATTGCTTTAGTTATGCACATACTACTTGTGTACCTAACTAGCTACAAATGTCCTGATGTACTACTATACATAGACTTTACCACATAGAAATAAAGTTGATACTTTTCCCTAGCTTTTCTTTTTTTTTTTCTCCCCTTCCATTTTCTTTTGTGCTTTTCCCTTTGAACCCTTCTTCACGCTCCAAATTTTACTTTTGCAGACTCATTTATCTCAATCAAGTTTGAAGATAATGGTGTTGCTTCATGGGAAAAGGGCACAGTTTCTAAGGTCTCACTTGAGCATTGCAGCATGTCGTGGAACCCCACCATGACCAAGGAGATCACCAAGGAGCCAAAGGAGACCAATAAGAGTGTGGTAGAGCATGCGAAACCGCGTGCGTCGCTTAGGTGGCGAAAGAGGATTGGCCACTTGTTCCAGCTCATCAGGTGGAAGAGGTCCAGCAAGGGCAATGTGTGCCACATGGGCAGCAAGGTAGAGGGAGTCAAGGTGATGAGGAAGGGCTGGATAAGGACTCTGACAAAGAGGACCAAAGAATAAAGAGTTTTTGTATAGAAAGGGACACTAAGCTTTTCCTCCACCATACCATTTTGTGTGCTGGGGCTCTCATTGTGACTGTAAAGTTCTATATAATTGAGATGGTAGAGTCAAAATATACTTTATCACCCAAAAGTGCTTTGGTTTAAAGTTCATTGGCTTCTTCTTGTTATTCTATTCTTAATTCTGATAAAAACAGAACAAGCTGTAAAAGGATTGTTACAATGTGCCCTTGGTTTCAGATTGGCGTAGAGAAGGGCACATTCCTAATACAAAAGAAATGTTTGTATATTTTCTCTGCATACTGATATTTGAAGTGCAAAAGCAAAAACCCCATGTTCTGTGCACAAAGTGAGGAACACTGGGGCATAATTCAAAAGGGCCCAAGGGCTACATCCCCTCCAAAATATAATGCCTCAAGTTGTCTTATTGTTGTCTTGGTGGGAGAGAATCTTCTTCTTCTAATCTCCAGCTAATTAATATTCTAGAGAGTCATCAAACCCTCTATTGTCCATAACATGTTTCATAGACTTAAAAATTTTCATCATTGCTCTATGGCGATTTCTGCCCCACGTGCCAGTCGTTGAGCTTGTGCAAAGTACCCCAGCAGTCCCCTTTGCCTGTTCAGTAAGGTTGGCCCCTCACTGAGGCAACTTGTCCCAAGTTCTAACTCTCTAGAAATGGGACCATTGCACCCTTAGGACCACAATGGATGTTAAGAAAAGCCTCAAATGGAGTAGACGAAAATGACAAGTAATATATCTTCACCCACCTCTGCCTGCAGTAGCACAAGAAAGTGATCAAAAAATCATGGCTGTATTTCTTTTCAGAAGGAATATGTCACTAGAATGTATATTTATTCATCAGTTGCTAGAAGAAATCATTTCTCAAACTGCATTTGGAAATGGTTGAAATCAACTGTTCCTCCACCATTTGCCACTGTCAAAGGAGGACTGGAAGAGTCATTTCTCAAGCTGAATAGTACTAGTAAGAGATTTGAAAGTACCAAATGGGCACGTTGACAGATATAGAAGAGAATTCTTACTACTCTGCATACGATTCCCGTTAGCTAACAGAAGACTTTGAAAACAATAATTTTCTAGTCCTAAAATAACTAATAGAACACCGGGCAACTTTGATTTATTGAAACCAATTTCATATATTTTCTGACATTTGTCCCCAAAAAGTAGTTATGTGCTCATTTGGAGGGGAAAATAGTAGCAAATCCATAAGACTTTTGTCCATGGAGTCATTTCAACAATGAATTATTATCATTTTCCTTTCTTTTTCTTTGGGTTGAGGGCGAAGGGGCCTAGGCGGTTTAGACATTGTGTGGAGTGGTTGAAAGTTGGTGAGGCGGGGAGGACCCCCTCGACCCCAAATCTTTCATCCACCGAACCCCAAACACAGAACTCGGTCAGAACAATAAAAGGGCAACAGCTTTAGTTTCTTTGGTTCTAAGATAAAGGGCGCTTGGCCTTGCTTTCGCAAACTCTCACTCAAGTCAAACAAACTTTAAGAGGCACATTGTTTTGTCACACCTCATAAAGACTGATATTTCTATCCAATTTAACCAAAGTATTCATAAATTATTATATAGCATTCAAGACTTTAGACACCTCGGTAGGCCTCGTCCCAAACTTTGCTTAATTTCCTCTCCTTTTCTGAACACCCCATTTTGCATTTCAAGCTGCAACGGTCCACATTACAATATCTTTCTTTGCCTAGGAGCAACTTTTTTTTTCTCTTCATATGACTTTTTCAAAATCATACAGTGGAAAAGTAGAAGAAAAAGAAGGGAAATGGTTCTAGAAAATCTCAGTTTCCATAGGGCTATATAAATATATGATATATCAAGTTTTGCTTTGCACCTCAACAGGATGAGGCTCTGTTGATTTAACATGCTTTAGAAAAAGGTATCAAAAATCAAGGAGCCATATCCCAGATGTCCTTGTGGTACAGTGCCAATATTGTTTGTGCTACAAGTTAACTTTCCATTCCAATTATTTTGATGAAGACCAACTAAAAATTTGGTTGGAGTACTATATTTCCTTTTAAGGGGTAGATAGTTAATGAAATTCTTGCCTAAAAAATTACAAAAAATTCACTTTTAGGCATGAAAATTGACAAAATAAAAGGCTTGGCAATCTCTATCAAGTAAGCTAAGCATCTCAATCACTGTGTCCAAAGTGGTTTTTCTTGGTGCCCCAGCTCTCCCTAAAGCAGTAGCTAGTTCAGGGGAAAAAATAAGTCAAAAGTGAACAAGGCTAGTAGTATTATATAGTCTCATACATCTAAGAGCTGGGACAATAATAAATGGAAAATTGAAGCCTATTGTTATAGGGCTATGTATATATTACTATGGATTATGGAAAAGTAGTGGAACTTGCAGGGTAACCTTATTCAATGTAACCCACTAACCTAAGCTTGATGAATCCTTGCTGCGTGATGAAAATGAGTCCCTATTCAATGAGCTGCACCTCTACGGCTCTTCCACATGCATGAGCTTTCTCTTTTTTCCGTATGTGAGATGGAGAGGCAAAAAGCAATGAGAACGTCCTTTTATGGTTTCCTTTCCACCCATGTGGCTGAGCAGAGAGACAGGAACTGGACATATAACAAACTAGACAAGACTACATAATTGTTTGACTCAACACTTCTCTCCAACTTATCCACATGCCCTGTGCCACCGTGACTGAATGACAACTTTGATTTGGAGTGTCCTTGGAGGATGTCCTAATTCATCCATCTTCTTTTCCTCCCCTCTGTTTAAATTTCAAGTTCCAATGTTAGACTTTGGTTAGCCTAGCTGTTCGACTATTTTCCTTCAGAAAACCAGTAGAATTAGGGGTGTGCGGGCGGCGGTCGGTTGCGACAAGGCAACAGATCACAGCTGTTTGTTTCGATCGGTGTCGTCGGCCGATCGGCTTGATCGTCGGAGAGATTCCTTTTCTCCAAACCGACCGAAAAATCGATAATTTTTTTTTTAATTTAAAGATAAAATTACCCTTTTTTTTTTACCTAATTTCACCCCGACTTAATTTCTCTCCCCGCCCTTCCTTTCTTGCTTCCTGCGTTCTGCCTCTCCCTAACTCCCTCCCTCTTTCTAACCCGTCGAAACTAGCAACCATTAATATACAACCCTTGCTTATCAGTCTTTTATTTCTCAAAAACCGATCGAACCGAGCCTCTTAAAAATCGATCGAAATCGACATTATATTTTATGTAATTCGGTCGGTTATAATGTTAAAATCTTTGATCATTTTTTGATAAAAACCGAACTGAAACCGATAAAACTGAACCGCCACACACCCTTAAGTAGAATCACCACTTTTTTTTAAACTCTGGAAAGAGAAAATTCGAAATAGTATCGTGATATACCAAAACAGACAACAACTGGATTACTGGAGTTGATCCTATCTTTTTTATTTTTTATAATGTTATATATATTTATATCTATGATGTATATTTAATTTATGTTAAAAAAAATTATGACTTCTGATTTTACAATAAACGTGAATATGATTGTGTCTAAGTCAATTACTATTTATAATTTGAATTTAAAAAAAAAGTAACAATTTAGATTCAAGTTGTTATTATTGAATCAACTGGACTTCAGTAAAGGGGAATGCGTTAGGACCCCAACAATTATAATTGGTGCTGATCAAAGTGGAAAAATTGTTACATTCCCCTTTAATCAAGTCTAGTCGGTCCAATAATAACGATTGATTAAACATTTATTGAATCATTGACACTTAAATTCGAGTCGATATAAATATGCATAAAAATTCATTAATTTTTTATGTATAAATAAGTGTTAGCTTAATTTATTCATTTCTTAGATTTTCAGGGAACAAAGGGTAAGTTATACAATAAATAATGAAGATAATATGAAGGCATGCATTTTTCGTGTATATGGCTACTGTCCTGAATCCAGGTGACATGCAAATTTCAGTACATGAAACTGAGGGATCTGAAAATCATATATGATCTGATTGAGATTTGATAAGAAATACTATATATATTCTATCTAATCATATAAGAATATTTTTTTTTTCTTATTATAGGTTTCGGACCATTCCATGCTAGGTTTTAGAAATCAAAAGCAAACAGTAATTTACATCAACAAATATATTAATTAATTGTCTCCAAACTAAAAGGCTATACTACAAAGGCTATAATAAAGCCTACAATCAATATTGATTTGATGTTATTACGTCAGATTTAATTAAGTCTTAGTTTAATGCTAAGTGCATTGGATTGGACCACACATTTCTATAGGTAGCATGGACCTATAAATCATGATAAGCATATCATTTTGCTAATACTAATTAGCCTATCATTTGAGGCTGTGGATGAAGAATAAACTACTCGATCAAGAGGCCCAAACTTGATTATTGGACCGACTGGACCTGATTTGATTAAAGGGGAATGTAACGATTTTTCATAAATGCTAATTCCAATGCCAGCAAGACTGCTAATAAATATATTCAAAATTCAAGTTGCAGTTGCATCTGTTATATATGTTAATTTATTATTTGAGGTAAGAGTGAATAATTGGACTGTTTTATTTTGTTATATTTAAAAATTAAATAAACTAAATATTTAAAAAATTATTTAAATATAAAAAAATTAAACCTACTGAATTAGTTTAATGAGTTTGATTTTGAACTAAAAAATCAAAATTTTATTTTTTTTATAAATTGTAATATTATAATTTATAAACTTCATTTTAATTATAAAAAATAAAACAAAAATTAATAATGAAAATATATATTTTATATAAATTTAAAATAATATTATACATTATATACTATTTCTCCTTTTAATCAATTCAATCTAAAAATTTAAAATCAAAAATCAATCAAATAAATTAATTAAATTTAACTATTTTATTCAAATCGTATTCCAATTTGATTGAGTCATTGATGAGGTCCAATTTTGCTCACCGTATCCCCTGACAAGTCAATTTTACTAGAACTTGTGGATCTAAAGACGGTCCCAGTCGAGATATGATTGAAAAAAACTTGTCCAGCTCCCTCCTTTACATGGTGAATTTCCATCCCAACATCCCAATTTACTGCAACTGGTGATAGCGCGGTTGCACGCAGGAACTGACAGTTGGATTGCCATTCACAGCCATCACGCCACTGCTAAAACCTGCTGCTGTAGTTGTACTTGCCTCAATAGCCAATGGTAGGTCAAATCCTAGAAATTCTAAGAGCGCAGCATTGACTGTCAGCTATATGTCATTGGATTTTACCGACATGGGTTATTATTATTTCAGATTAAAGCAATCAAAATGTCTTAAAGTTAGAAGGTGGTTGAGTTTTAATGTCAATGATTCCGTTCTTAAAAGGATTAAAATATATTAACTTAACCATGAAAGGTTCTTTCACAATTGAATAACGTCTTGTTTTAGTTTTTGATTAATATACTCTAAGAGCCACATCCCTTGTGAGATTTTGGACAGCCAGCATTGTTCTTTTGAGCTGATACGGTAACATTGCTTTGGCAGATTGAACAAAATGTGTGGATGGAAGACGAGATTCCCCTGTATTTAATTGTGGATCTAAAACGATCTACCTCTTAAGCTGTAGAATTTCTGAATCATTACCTCAGTACAGGATTCTCAGCATTGCTAATATATATTCATCTTTATGTGCTGATGTCTGCCCACAGGCAAGATAAGCCCATTTAGCGCCTAGGTTTACTATATCTTAATGCTGGGACCTGTTCGGCCTGGCTGGAGTCTGGACCATCCTAGCCAGGAAAATTACTTACCCATCGTGTTCAGGTTTTCTCTTCTTTTTGAGCCTCAATCATCTTGGAAAAGGGAGATAATGTCACTGAGTTCAACACTCTTGACTCCCCTATGGGAAAATGTGCATATTTTGGAGAAAAATCTTGTCGGCAGATAGCATTTCCTCCTTAGGATCTGTTCCGAATGAGAGCATAACATGATCCAGCATAGTGTCTTAAATGATTGTTAAAGAAAGAAATTGAAGTTTCTATTAACATTAACACATAATTCCAAAAGGGCAGCCTTGTTTGATTTTTCCTGGATGCTGACAGGTTCCAAAATCTATCCACGTTCTATTTTCTCACTTTTATGGAACCTCTCGGGGCATGGGACCATAATGTTTCGGTAAATGAAGCAGCTTTATGTAGCTCTGAAGACTGATATAACTTGTTAGAGATATGACTATGAAAATTTGAACTACTTTTAACCAACAATAAGAACATATATATAGTAGCGGTGAGGTAGACACTTACTGCAGATACCGATTTTGGTTTATTCATGTATAGCGTAGTGAACTCCATCCATTACGTAAATTATACTTGTAATTATTCCTTTGAACCCTGGTGGCATGCCATTTTTAATGGAAGTTGTGGGTTTGAGAAGGCTCCAATGGAGATTTGATCAAAAATTTTGTTTGCCACCTCTGTAGAGTGAATTCCATCCCAATTTACTCGAACCGAGGGGCGGTCACACGAACCAACTGGCAGTTGGGTGCCATTCACAGCAAATCCTCCACAGCCAACGCTGCTGCTGCAGTTGTACTTGCCCCCATAGCCGCAGCAGGGAACCAGCGGATGCTCAAATCTTAGAAAGTATTCCAAGAAAGCATTGTTAACTAAATAATTGATTTAAATAGTTGTTATTTGAATTTATAGTGATAACAGTAATTTCTTTTAACCGACCATGCTTCTTTGGGTGGCTGAAGAGGGAATACTCGACTGAATAAACGTCTACATAAGTGATTGCAGCTAATGGAAGGTTGTTTCTCAATTGAACAACAGCATGCTTTAGTTTCTGATTTAAATAATGAGCCGCATTATTGTAAGATTTTGCACAGCCGGCATTGTCCATTTGAGCTGCTGCATCGCTAGGCAGATTGACCAAAATGTATGGAAGACAACCAATTGGCCCTGTATTGTGGATCCAAAATGCTCTAGCTCCCAAACTGTATAAATTCTGCACACAGAATTTCGGGCCATTGAAGATTTCATATGTTTTTTCAAGTGCTAATGTGTCAAAGGCAAAAGCCATTTAGCGCCCAGTGTAGGATCTTATGGCCCAGAGGTTGTTCTGCCTGGCTGGACCATCCTATCCAACAAAAATAGTAAAAATCCTTGGGCACAAATGTTATTGAACATTACCTTAATAGTATTCGAAAATCTGTTTATCATGAAAGGGACAGATGCATTGACTTCCTCTATAGACTTGCTACCGAAGAACCCTGCCCCGAGATCATTCTGACCAATATCCAACGTGTATAAAGCTTTGGAAAAGTACTCCTCTTTGGGCATTAAATCCACAAGCACTCCACCTAAGATATACATACAATTCAGAAGATTATCAATGGCACTTTGAATTTTGTATGAGCTATAAACTTATTACTTTCCTTTTTCCCTAAGCATTTGTGATCAGGATTTGAATTACATGAACTGCCAGGATTGCACATCTAGGTAGAAAGGACTGAATCCACCCTCTGTTAGACCTTTGTCTTGTGGTATAATTGTGGATGCTGAGACTGCAAAGTTTGCACCATGGGTGAAGTTGTAGCCCGGTGAATCCAGATATGTGCTGAGATAAGGCAAATCAAGACTGCTGAAAATCACATTATTAGAACCAAACCATCAGTACATATTGGAAACAGGGCTTCAGAACAAGAGGCCAAAAATTGGCTGGATATGGAAAAAAGTCACAATGGTTGAATGGATAATTGTAGCATCAAACAATAGTTGCACTGAATTTCCTCTTAATTTCATATTACATGCATGCTTTGGGCAATCTTGTGACTTATCCAAATGGACTAGTCTTCTACTATTTTTCAGTGAGGCAAACAGTGGGAAACCATGTTATTCGAACTTGTGGCGCTAATCTCTTTCAAAATTTTACGCCTGCTAAACATCTTTGACGACAATCACATCCCAATAAAAAATTAAAATAATGGCAGCCATGTAAGTCATAGAAGAAACTTCATATATAGTAGCAGAATGAAAACCATATACCAATGAAATCAATGGTGAGCCGTCCGTCCGAGTTTCTTCCAGCAGGCATGCCAAAAAAGGTCTCTCCATAGGGTGGAGGAGCTTGGAAATAAGCTTCTGACAATCCACCAGTGTCTAAATTTGAGTCAGCAAAGTTAAATATTGCTGGAAAATCACAATCTTGAATAGCTAAAACAGGGTTCAGGAAGAAAGAAAATCAAAGAAACAGGCAAAACAAAGTGAGAGAAACGCATATGATGTTGTTACCTGGAGACTCCATGGCCACACGGAGAAACAGTGCTGGAAATAATTGGCGCGTGGGGGGGAATCAGTTTATGGAATTTATTAAGTAGCGAGAGGGTGAGGTGGAAAATTCCATTGTTTCTCTTGAAATATCAACAGGTTTGAATTATATTCTTAAATCTCTTGGACAAGATACTTGAACCAAGTCAGGGTAACAATTTGAAACTCATCTTGGTAAAGAGAAATAAATCTATACCGAGGATATGCACTATGCATAATTTAAGGAAAAATGAAATAGCGTAACACCGTTCTTAATCCGAGAATTACAAGGTTCAGGATAGTATCTTCGATGTTCCTTAGAGAAGGATTTAAACTTTCTGCGATGCAAATATTCAAAACGGCAGCCTCGTTTGATTCTTCCATGGATGGTGACATTGCAGTTTCCGTTTATGTTTTGTCACTTTTAGGCTACCTCTCTGTGCATGGGACCATATTACGATCATGTATCGAGTAAATGATGCAGATTTGTATATATATCTCCGGACTGATGATAAAAATCTGATACAACTTGCTAGATTTATGACTATGCAAATTTTTTTTTTAACTTTTGGTCAATAATAACAACATATACCAGCACTGAGACTTATTACATGACATAAGACATACAATAACAACTAGTTAGGCTTTGTTTTCTTCATGTGTCTATGCTGAACAAGAAGTTAATTTGAAGTCCTGTGGCATGCCCGTTTCAAGGGAATAGGTGGATCTGAGAACGATCCGGTGGAAATTTGATCGAAAACAAACTTGTTAGCTGCCTCAGTGTAGTGAATTCCATCCCAAACCACTCGAACTGATGGACGTTCACATGAACCCACAAATATCTTGGTGCCATTAACTGTAATTGTTCCTCCACATTGAACTTCAGTGCTGTAGTTGTACTGGCCTCCGTAGCCACAACATGTGACAAGGGGAAGCTCAAATCCTGAGAGTAATTCCAGAATCAGATATAAGGCCTATTTGCTACAATCCTTTATTTTCTGTGTGAAAATGTTCTGCAGTCCAGAGGCATACCGTGTTTTTGGGGTTCAGCAAAGAGAGAGTACTTGACGGAGTAGATGTCTACATATGTGAATGCAGCTGAAGGGAATTCATTTCTGAGTTGAGTTACTGCCTCCTTTAACTTGAGATTAAAATACTGAGCAACTTCATTGTGAGGCTTTAAGCAACCGGCAGAGTCCTTTTCTGCTGAGGAAAAGGCTGCCAGAACGTAAGGCAGGCAACCAATTGGTCCCGTGTTGTGAATCCAAAATGATCGAGCTCCTAACCTGTATATATTCTGCAAAACAAAAACCAACACCTCACTCATTATTATGCTGCTACATGAAGACCAGAATTCAGCCATGCTGTGCTACTGCTAAAATTCATCTGAAATTCCAGGTTTGATCATAATTGCAGTGTTAGGCTGGAACTCCATACAATCAACCCAGAACTTTTAGGCCCAAAAGATTTCACTTTTAGGGAGGAAAAAGGAAAAACTTCTAGTATTATGAATCAAATGCCTCAATACAATTACCTTAATATTTGCTGAGAATTTGTTGGCTATATCAGGAACAGAAGCATTGACTTCTTCTATTGTCAAGTTTGCAAAGAACCCTTCACCAAGATCATTTTGTCCAATATCAAAAGTGTACAAAGCTTTTGGAAAATACTCTTCCTTGGGCATTAAACTTGCAAACAACCCTCCTACGTATGCAAAATATATATAAGAAACTTAACGATGCAAGCTTGCTGCAAATATTGATATATAATACCAATTGAAATCAACTTCCACTGGAAAAATTAATGTGTGAAAATACAGTATTTAAATAAACACTCACCTCGTTCCCTAATCAGTTGTGATCTGGATTTAAATTGCACTAATTGTGAGTACTGTAGGTTCAAATAGAACGGACTGAATCCACCATTAGGTATAATCCTATCTGGTAATCGGATTGTTGATGCCGCCGTGGCGAAGTTTATACCATGGGAGAAATTTGTCCCCAGCGAATCAAGATATGCGTGAAGAAATGGAAGACCAAAAGTCTCGGCTGATACAAAGACAATTTTTGTTGTAGAGCCAAACCGTAATTAAGAAGAGAACCTTTAACCATGAAAAAATTTGCCCCTACCAATATGACATTTATTACAAGTGTCAAACTTTCAACGGAGCACCATGGACTTTAGCTACCCACCATGTATAGTACCAGATTAACTTTATCCCTCTGGCTTTTGCCTCTCTCTCTTTGAGCTAAGAAAATGGAGTTTCTTTTTTGTATAATTCAAATGGATAATATACAGAGAAGTCAATACGTGAAAATAAACATAAACATAATTAAGCATATCATAAAAGTTCCATCACGCGAAAGCCTATGATAAAACCAACTACTAATATCACAGAACTAATGTACGGACACTTGTACTAACAATACTATTGAAGATATTATAGATACCTATGAAATCAATCACGGGACGGCCGTCAGAAAAACGCCGGGCAGGCATGTGGAAGTAGGTATCTCCATAAGGAGAAGTGGGAGGATCGAAGCAAGCAGCATATCCACCAGTATCTGAATTAGAGTCACCTAAGTTAAAGATAGCAGGGAAATCACAGTTCTTCTGTGCGTGGACGACAGAGCTCAAAATGGTGGCACTGGCATGGGGTAGGGCGAGCATGAAAATGAGCAAGAGGGATATGGCTTGTTTGGGCTTGGTGAGAAACTTCATAGTGGAGGTAATTAAGACAGGGATATGCTCTTGACATAGCATCTAACCAAGAGAAGTCTTTGGTTTTTGAAAGTGATGGCATTAGCACTATAATGTAAGTTGAATAAATCATTCCAAAAAACCAAAATATGAGTCGCATATTCCAACGCATGGCCTTATTAGATATCTTAGCCTTGTCAAAGTATTGCTGGTTTTATTGGTTTTACACACACGCAAGCTGCCTGTCGTATAAGTATTATAATAGTAAGTAAGTATCTTATTCATAGGAACTTATATCTAAACTCTTACTAATTACTAAAATTTAACACTTTAATCTTATCTAGTAAATTTAATTTTAAAAATTAATTAAAATTGAAATTAAAGTAACAAGCTAACCTAATGAATTAATGCTAAGAAATTTCTAAAAATTCCGTAAAATGGAGCCTGTGGAAGTACTCTACTTTTCATTTGGATTTAATTTCACTCTTTATACTTATATCAATAGGTTGAGTCTAAATTTATCTACAATTCTCTATCGAGATATTGTAAACATATCTATCTTAACCAATTTTCCATATATCTATGTAGATTAATTAAGGTAGCTTCATTAAGTTTATATCCTAATCTTGGTTGCACATGCTATTTAGGTATATTTCTATCCTAAATACTAATCAAATCACCTATGCTCTAAGTGAAGTGAAGACATGCTATTCAAATCCTTGATCTATGCTAAATTCTCTAAGTGAAGTATAAATATTTATACTTTATCAACTATGAATATATGCCGAATTAAATTTACTCTTCTATTTTTTCTAGCTGATGGGTCTTTACATGATCCCACCACAATGTTTGTGCCATTTAACGCCCAGTGTTTCTCCACACGAAGCAGCACTGTTGTAGTTGTACTCACCTCCATAGCCACAAGCGAAAGTTGAAATCCTGCCCAAAAAACAAAGAAACAATTATTTCGGCAACAAAATATTCGTTTTGATTTCACCATTTTGGAATTGCTAAATTTAGAATAAAATTTCTCCATCGCAAAACAGTGAATAGTGAAGGGTAAGAATGGCGACTACCCAACCATTGAAAAGCAGCTCCTCTCTCCAGCCCACCAAAGCCGAAACATTTTGCCCGTAGCTGACAGCCTTTTCCTTTCTCTTCTTCTCCCTGCAATCGTATAACGCCTATTCTTTTTATTAATAATTTTAAGTTCTTATTTTTTTAATTTCCTTCATTTAAGCTATGACATCCTTAATCACCTTTGCTCCAATAATTATTAGAGTGTGGCCAGTAACGATAAGGTCATATATATATATATATATATATGTAGAATCCAAGACCTATATTAGAAATTGAAAATTGTCATTATAAATTAAATAAATCAATAATTTAATATATATATATATAACATGTAAAATTAGGTTTCTGCACAATAAATGCCAAGTATTGAATACTTTGTTTTTTTGAATAAATACCTGAAATTGTTTTTTGCCAACTAGCTTTATATATTTCATTATAAACCTTTTTATATTCATTTGAAAAACTTTTCATATTTTAATAAAATTAATTTCAATTTTTTCCATATTTATTAGTTAATTATTTGAAAATGAACTCTTGAAAAAAATACATATAAATTACTTTTATTTGAATTTTTTGAACGAGATTTGATAAAATGATGAAATGTTAAAATACAATCCTCAGACAACAAGTAGAATAGGGAGACAGGGCATTATAAGAAATATCTCCTGAAGTTATAGTAGTTCTTCATTTGGATACCTGTCTTAGTAGTTTCCATAAATGTTGTTCTACACTTTATAAATGAAACGACAATCCTACCGTACTCTGCTTTGGTTTGGTTCGATTTGGCAGATGACTCATATTTGAGTTAGAGAAATCTATCTCTATTGCATACTTTCCAGTTTGAACCATTTTCTTCTTACAAATGTAAAGTTTCATGGTACAATGGAACCAGCCATAACCATTTATGAAACTATTGCAGGTTTGACTGAATTTCATGGTCTGAGGAAACTTGAAACTGAAACCAAGCTTAAAGGGAGATTATTGTGAAGGGTGTGTCATTTTCGTTTGGTCAAGGCACAGTAGCTGTGAAAATGTACACACATGCCAGATAATAGTTCATATGAGAGAAAAGCAAATCACCCTCACCCACTATATTGGACAAGTAGTTCTATCTAGCCACAGGACTGAAGCTAAGTTAGTTTGCTCCATTGAGAAATGAACAGCTAATAATTCCAATGAGTCAATTCAATGGCCCAAAAACACTTTACTTAATTCGTTTACATTCAAATTTGGGTAGTGACATTACTTTGCTCAGCCCATTCAACTCTTTCAAAACCCCACACTACTTTCCTTTTAGATACTTCTATGTACATGAGTTACCATGAAGTATGTAGAGGACCATTAACAAAAACAACAACAAAGAAAACATAGAATGAAAGGACTCAAAACAACTATAGACAATACTAATCCCACACAAACCCCCTCAGAATAATCCTCATTGATTATACAATTGGATGACCACCAATAATGAAAACAGCACTAGTAAGTCACACAAAAAGTGGAGTGCCAAGTTCTTCAGCAGACGAAGGCAGTAGGGCACGGATTCTAACATCATATTTTCTATGGCCAGAAACTTCATTACCAGTTGATGAATCAGATCCATCTAAGACAACAGGGTAGCCTGAAGTTTTATCATCGTAAGCATTTCCAATGTGGTTGCCACACTTGCGGCAAAGAAGTTTGGTTCTTTGGCGGAACAAACCCCATGTGTTCTTCGAAAAGTAGGGAATGCATTGGAACTCATCAACTTGTGTAAATCTGCTCTCGTCTACAGTGAAGAATGATATAATCCCTCGTTTTATAGATTTTCCATATTTAGAGCCAATTGTTGCAGTATTTCGACTAGAGGAACTTAGGTTTAGCTCATACCCACAAGAACCACAGCTGCAAGAAAATTTTTTTTCCACCATTTTATGTTCAGAAATGTAACTTCAAGAAAAACATCCAACTACACTAGGATGCAGAGTGCTTGAAACTCATGAGGCATTGCAATCATCCTATATCATATATATTCCATAGTTCGCTTACAGAGAGCTATTGACTATCGGTTACCGAAAACAAGGAGACTAGAATTTCAATAAGTGTTCTCTTTTCAACATATGACAACATCAGAAGGTTTACTCAGGAAGGCATCATAGTTGCATCAAAATATTCCTATAAACTCTTTTTCTGTAGTCATCGCAATTTCATAAAGAACTTTAAAAATAACAATTCTTGAATACATATAAACGGTAGTGCTAGGACTTTTAGTACTGAAAGAATTGGTCGATCCCAATTTCAAATGCCAATGTAATAGGAAACTGTAAAAGTATCTCAGTCCTAAAAGTTCCTGAACTGTCAACCAACTAAAAGTAAACAAAAAACAATAATCCCATCTGAGTTCATCTCCTGCCTTTATTAATCTAGGTCAAACAGAGCAGATGAAGTACAGAAATTTAAGTACTTGTAGTAACTGCCGAAGGAAAGGAAATAGAATTCAACTCAGCAACCCATAAAAATTGAATCTTCAGATGTCTCATTAGTATCTCTACCAACTACCAAGCAAGCCAGAGTACGTGAATAACTGAAGTTACCATAAATGCAAAATAACATAGATAATCATTTCATCGACTTCAGAAAAGCTAGCTCATTCACAAAACCCAACCCCTGGCCCCTCCAACCCATAACTTTTAACATTGATAAAGTAGGCTGCTAGTGCAGCAATATTAGAATTCACCATAGTAATAGTTAAGCAGCTGATTTTGCACCAAAATGACAGTGACTGAGCAAATTTGAGCAAGATAAAGAAGCATTGTAATGGCCTAACAGGGTAGTTCTTTTTTTTTTTTTTGTTCATGTGATTTATAAAGATTTCTTTTTAACCACTTTCAACCCCAGTGGTCCAATTAACAATCAATTTAATTCTCATAAAAATTTCTCTTATAATCAAAAGTTAATTTAAAACTCGGCCTTGTCCTCCAATTTAACACTTAATAACTCTTTATTAATCTAAATCTATCCCCTGCTTTACAATCAATGGAGAAAAGATAAAAACAGAAACTTTACAGTATTTAAAACAATTAGACACAGTCAAGACAGTCAACTTCCTCCATAAATCAGCAAAAAAACAACATCCAGAATCAATCAACACATAACAAACAAAACCCAGAAATCAAAATCCAAAATTTTAAACACACACAACAAAAAAAAAAACCCATCAAAATTCACCCAAAAGAAAAAGAACAAACCTGTAAGTTACATGTCTTTGAGAAGCAAAAGAAAAAGAGTGAGGGAGATTTCCATCGAGTTGTTGAACATCTTTAACAAAAACCGATTTCTCCATTACTGCTTCTTCCTTCTTCCCACAGAATCAATGGCTCTGATTATGACTACGACGGTGACGGTGCCCGTGCTAAAAAAACCCGAGTTCTAATTGAGATGTTAACTGTTGACTGGTTGGGTCTGAAACGTGTCCGGCTGATCCGGGGTGATGCTAACGGCTCAATTTTCAGGGGCTGAGTTAGAGAAGGAACCAAGAAAAAAAAGAAGAAGAAGAAGAATTGATCCAACAACAGCAGCAGTTTCTAGATAAGGGGCAAAGGCTTAGGCAGAGGCAGGCTTCTTGTAGAAAGAGGAGAATAATCTTCGTGAACTCCTTTTTTGGGTTCTGGTTTCTGGCTGTCCTTTTCTGGGTGATGACGTGGTATATAACGGACACAAGACAGCTTAATAAGGATTAATTAATGAGGTTAATATCCGTGTGTTAAGAAGCTGGGATTTATCTTCAATTTACACGTGTCCTTGTTTTAGTTGTTAATGAGGAACAGGTAGCACCAAGTCATCAACTTGTTTCTTGGGGGGTATTTTTCATGGAAAGGAAAGGTATCGATTCAAAGGAAGTTTGGTTGTTTGCCAATCATTTGACTTTTTGAGGAGCCTCCATCAGCAGGCATGACCATCCTTGATTACCACTAATAAGTGTCTAGGTGGATAATACAACTTTACTTGAGTAATGTTATTTTGTTGGACAATAAGATTAACAATCATCATTCCCAATTATATGAGAATACATATTTATAATGTTGTGCTTATTAATTTTGAATATTAATTACTTTGTGAAGTTAGTTAATGCAGGCACCATGGCAGTTTAAACTTTAATTTTAGATAACAAATTGAAACCATTTCATTGCACTTAAGCATAATTTGAGGGCAAGAAATGAATAAAGATGTTAGACATTTGACTGTTGATGCTTTCCCCTTTTGTACCAAAGAGAAAAAATGTATTGTATTTAATTAGTAGTAATTATGTCTAAATCATGAGTGTATCCACGTGTTAGGCCGTCAAGCACATGGTTCGACCCTATCAAATTAAATTAGCCGATTTGATTGGGCTAATTAAGGAATTGACCCTCTGAATCATTTTACTAATGTCTAAATTGAGACCGGCCTTGGAGAAGTTTCCAACTGAGTCGACCTCCTCCCAGTTTTGTTAGAGTAGAAGTACTCCCTGTCACAAATGCAAACACACGGCTAGACCGACAAAACGCTGTGCCCGCTGTGCCCGTGTTACGAAGGCATGGTCGGCTTTAAATATTAAAGAAGTTTTGATGACCGACCAGCAGAAGCTAATAGCCTTTTGAAATGGCGAATTCCAGGAATTTCAATACCCACTTTATTTTTTGCTCAAGATTCCCAATACAGAATTGCTTTGTTTACCTGTTTTTATTCTGTTAGATTTGTTCAAGTGGAAAAAAGAATTGAAATTCTTTACGTATTCTTCATTTTCTTTGGAGATGTGTCCTTTCATTTACTTTCCACAGTGTGCATTTGCCATTTCCGTAGCCATATTTTACATTTTTTTTCCTTTGTATTCTAAAGCAATGTAGTAGGTTCAGCCCATTTGAGAGAAAAAAAATTCATTGATGCGATCGACAGGCGTGAGAGAGAGAG